ATGCCTTTAGGAAAGTCAATTAACTTGCAGACAGCCTATACTGTAATTGTGTGGTGTCTTACCTTAACGGTGCGGTGGTGCTTGCGGGAAGGGTGACAACGCATGTTGCTGGTGTTGCAGCAGCCTGTGCAGCGCTTCACCTCTACACAGGGTGGCCATATCAGGAAGTTTGCAGATGTGGGGTCCACCTGGCTCCTGGGGATCTCATAGATCACCGTTCGAGTCTTACACACCGCCGGGACCGCCTCCTCTACTGCAAGTGAGACAGGCAAAGGGAGGAGTCACATTATTGCGTTTGGTTTGCATGAGTGTTCAGTGACCAATTTTCCAAATGCAGACGCGTGCTGATGTATTGTTGTAAACCATCCTACTCACTCCCAGCTGGTTCATGCATTCCTCCACTGCTCATTATTCAATGAGTCACTTGATGTGGGAGCTATTCATCTCACCTCAGGTCACAACTAACCACTTTAAGGCTATTAAGAAGACAAGTTATCTGAAAAGCTGATCTCATATCAGCTAAGGGGTTTCAGGACCAAGTTGGTGAAACAGAAAGAGAGTGCTCCTTTGTTCAGAACCCTGACCAGGCTTAATGCAGCATGATCAGGCCAGAAAACCTTTACGTCCAACAGTGGGAAACCTAATGATGGCTTTGATCCTGTTAGTCAAGGTGAAAGCCAGAAGCGTTCATTCATTCATTTCAAAGCTAAATATGTGATAGACTGTGCACAATAAGACATCATTATGTTGTACAGATTATTACAGAACATGTGGCTTTTTGTAGACAGCTGCCAAAATGATACAGTATACTTTATCATATACTAATGATACAGAGCCAATACGTGAGATACCACCAGCCTGCTTTAAAGACTGTGCTGCTGGGAATGATGGGAAGAACACACAGCCAGTCTTAATACTCACATCACACACTACATGGTACAGTAGTCTCTACGCCTTGATTAGATATTGTACCGCGTGGCGTTTTATGAAGAAATCTGACTGAGAGCCCAGACAAGCTGCAACTTGATCCCTGAATGCCTGGAATTTCTACGCTCAAGGATATATTTCTCTCCTGACACGTGTGTCTCAGACCTGCAAGGCTCTGGCCAATTAAAAGGCTTCGTGTCAGATGTTTTCTTCAACCTCACACGCCAGACTTGTTTCTCATGATTCCTTGATTGCCATAAAATACTAGTTAGGTGTCTTCATTAGGGTTGCTTTTATCCACAAGAAAGCAGTATAAAAGCCACTAACTATTATCTTTGTTTGAAATTAGTGTAAAGCGATCGGTTTCATCTGCTGGGAAGAACTCCTACTTTGAGACAGGGGTGATGTTTAGGAGAGGGGGTTATTTTTAGGGCATTATGAAACTGTAACATCTTGTGCCAAGTTGTGATATATACAGTGCTAAATGTAATTACAATGCAACCTCGGGGCTGCGCAGTCTCACCAATGCTCCTCTTGCGTCGACTATGGAGCTGAGAGCTCTTCAGGTCACTGTAGTAACCACGATGATGAGAGTAGTTCTTGTGGTGGTTGTGGTGCTTGGGCTCTTCGATAACATCATTTCCCGTACCTCGTCAAAACAGAAGGCAGCCTTATTAATAATGTCACACAAAGAAAAAAAAAAACATAAACAGATGACTCAGCCAATAAGTAAACTACTGTATGAGTCTGTAACCGCGGCTGCAGTTTTTGCTGAGTGACTGTAGTGGGTGGCTTGCTGGGCTTCACCAGAAGGCTGTATATGTTTTATAGGCTGTTGATATTTTATATACCCCTTCCACAACAAACAGTGTGTTGGTTAGTCACACATCCATAATGAGATGGTAACTTCCTACTGGTTTCTGGTGCTATATGTACAGTAACACATGCTTTGAGTCCCTGAGAGGCTTCCCTCAAACATGCTGGTGGGCAGGCAGGGCAACTGCTGATGATGTTGTAAATTAAGGTAAACAGTCCAGAGTACACAGGATAGAGGTAGAAGGCACATTTTTACACAGACCTCTGTCTAATTGTAACCTTTGTGTGTCAGCCTCACTCATCCTTT